CACTGAGCCACCCAGGCACCCCTCCTTGGCTCTTTTAAACCTCAGTTTCCCCATCTGTAGAATGAAGCTAAGAATATTTTCCTCCTCCAAGGGCTGTTATGCATTAACACAGGCAAAGTGCTGAAACAGTGAGCAAGGGCATTGGCATCTGTCCTGGAAGTGTAAGTTAATTAATGGCCAGAAGGCAGGAGCATGAAAAATGTTGTCTTCTACCTCTATGATTCTATACAGACCCTATAAGAGAGACCTATAGAAAACTTTGGGATTCTTTTTGGTCTAGAGGAAGAAGTGGTGTTTGAGGAATCAAAACACGGTAGGTAACACCTAGACAGGAAATCATACAGAGACCCTGGAAGTTCATTCATCATCCGTTCGTTCATTCTCATTCATTCATTCATTCAACAAGTGCTTATCTAGGAGACTGAGCCAAGAATTTGGCTCTGTGCTAGGTTCTGAGGCTGTGGTGATGAACAAAACAGAGACATATGATAAATACATGAACAAATAAATAAAATATTTATATACTGTGCTGGGAATCAGAAAGGGACTAGACAGGATGCCATGAAAGAGAAAGAGAGTAACAATGAGGAGTGGTCAGACTTGCTGAAGCCTGGGGAGGAGGAGTCAGAAGCAAGTCCAAGCCAGAGGCCCTGCACCAGAAGGAGCTGGGTGTGTTTAGAAACTAACCAAGGCCAAGTGCCAAGAGATGGGGCTGCGGACAGATCCTTGAAGGTCCTTGAAGAATATGGGGCCTTGGAAAACCTGATCTTGAGGGCACTGAGAAGGCCTTACCTTGTTTTAATGGGGAAGTGGGACACTATCTGATTTATGATCTTAGAAGTGTGCTCTCTGCGTCTGAACACTTCCGTGTGATCTTCAGAGCTCACCCTCCAACTTGCAGCTGCTCTATGGCTTTGTCTGGGGCCTTTCTCCAAATTCCAGGGGACCCATGCCGCCAGGAGCAGCCCTCAACCAAAGATTGATGGGATATTTGGCTATAAATACCTGAGTCCCTCACCTCTTGGTAGGCAAATTCTGAGCATGTATTTTATACCATTTCTCAGAAATTGTCCTGTGGAACTAAGCCCCAGTCACCCACGTGGTGACCGCTTGATACCAGGCCCTTTATCGGCTGGCTGCCCTCTCATCTCACTTCCCACCTCCCTTCAGGTGTTTCCTGAGATTGTCCCACCTCCCTGGAATCCTGGGCTCAGGGTCTGCCTGGGGAAGACTTCTGTAAGGCGACTGGATTGGAGGGGACATAAGTGGAGGCAGGGAGACACATCGGAGGGCTGTCGTGTTAGTCCAGTTAAGGAAAGATGATGACCTGAGCCGGGATGATGGCAGGTGAGGCTTCCTGGGATCTCCACTCTTGGGAACATGTAGGCCCTTCATAACAGAGGCTGTAGAAAGGCTCTCAAGAGCCAAAATTACCAACTCCCAGTCTGTCTGAATTCTCCACATCTCACGCACCATCTAGCCAATCACACGCCCTCTAAGAGGAAGCACAGTGTGAGAAAAGGGGGCCCTTTAAAAGAGAAAAAAATAGAAATGAGCCCAACTCCCCCAGCACTTCCTGCCCTCACTCTGGCCTCTGGGTCAAAGGCCCCCTTGGGTCCCAGGCACAACTCCTCTCAGGTTGGATTTGGCTCACAATGAATGTGATGGTCATTAGCTCTTCCTGACCAGGGCCTGGCTGTGCCATCATCACGGGCCCAAGAGGAGAAGGCCTTTCTACATTTTACCAGAGTATACAACTCTGCTTGCAGGGCCCCCCACACCCCCCGACCTTGAGTCCCACCCAATGAACACACCAACACACTCTCCCACCCGTTTTGTCCACCTGAGTAGAACCAGCTTCTCACTGATCTGTTCAGAAGTGGTGGACTCTCTCTTGGTCCTGCTTCTTTGCATGACGAAGCCTGGAGTGGGTGGGCTGCTACCTACTCACAACTAGTCCTTTATCTCTCGTAGCCAAACAGCTGATTAGCTGAGAGCACAGTCCCCCTCATACCGCCTGCCAGAACTTGCTCTTGACTTTTTCATTAGGAGTTTCAGATGTTGTGAGTGTCCTCCCACTAGTCTCCTGGGACCCACCCTTCCCATATGTACTGATGGCTTTCTAGGACAAGGGCGGCAGCTCTCTGCCATGGCCCCTTTCTGGCTGAGGGATCCGGTTTGGCTGGCCAGCACACGGGCCAGACCACAGGAGCCAGGAGGTCGATGCCCTCACGAGCTGTCTCAGTGGCCGACAGTTGAGAGCTACTGTGTAAAAAACCTAGCTCTGGCCCCCACGTGAGACAACTTTGGTGTGTGTTGTACACACTCCCTCAATGGAAATAAAGAGCTGGTATCTTAAGACACTGAGTTCTGGATAGGTTTCTTAGCATCTCTGCAATCACTAATACGAGGTGTTAGATGGGGTTTACAGAGCATGGAGTACTATTTGTTGGGAGTACAAGGAACGCGGATGTGTGTGGTGGTTGTGTATTTTGTTGGGGAAATGGTATTTGTGATACACAAACACAAAAAAGCGAGTGTTTATATGGAATAACACCAAACCAATGAGTGGGCAGTATACGGAGTTTGTACTCCATTCCCAGTCAGAAGGCACCTCGGGTTCCTGTGCTGGGAAACCCACATCCTGAAACCTTTCTCTCTCTGACTTGCTAGTGGCTTCTAGGAAGGCAGCCCCAGCCAAACAGGGGTGTTGGACTTGACTGGTGTTCAGCAAACCAAGGAAGAGGTGGCACAAGGCCAGCCAAGTAGCGTCTGACCACACACCCAACCTGAGTGTGCCTTGGCTGCTGAGGTTTCTGTCCCCACGACAGGGCTTGGCAGCCGAGGAAGGGTCCACACAGTGACTCTGGGAGATGCACACAGGGTCTCTGTGTGGAGCAGAAAAACTGCGCTGTGCACATTAGCTAGACTGGGGCTTTGCCATGAGGTGCCTCCAATCTCAAGGCTGTGAGACACAGAGGGAGAGCAGTGACCACTCTGAGTAATCAGGGCTCAGTCCTGGTAAGGGACTCTGCAAGACACGTGGCACACACACAGCCACCCTCACCGGGGAGGTGGAGTTTTATACCCTGGCTCCTATCAGTGCCCCGAGGCTGCTCCTGGAAGCAAACAGCCCGCGCTGTTTGCCCAGGACTGTAGGTCCTGTGGTCTAAGAAACTTCTCCTTCCTAACCTGGATGTTTGGTCACACCACCTGGAGAGCATTAGCTCCCCAGCATCCAGCCTGTCACCTGTCACCCCGAGCAAGCCCACAGACACAGGTGCTGGCAATTAGAAGCTACCACACATTTTAACGGTCAGACCCAAGGGGGTGAGGTCAAGGCATCCGGTCCCATTTTCGAAGTAAGAAAAGTGAGTCTCCGAGAGGCAAAGTAATCGGCTCAGGGTCATCTAGCTTCAGGAAGGGGTCTGTGAGTGGGGGTTTCAAGCCCAGCTCTCTCTGATGCCAAAGCCCATGCCGACCACGAGGCTACACACTCCTCTCTGTTCACAAAGCAGCCTTTGTGGACACAGGCTGGAGAAGCCAGAAGTACCTCAGGAGAGCAGTGAAGTCCACAGACTGGAAACCAACACCCACCGGCCGACAGGTAGCATCCATGGTTCCGGGGATGGGGCGGTAGGCAGATGTCAGAAAATAAGGGGTAGGGCCTATGCCCAAAAGGAGAGCAAGGCAGCCCCTGAAGCAGGCATCCCTCCTCAGCTCAGGCTGATCACTGCCATATGGAATGGACGCCCAACGTTACTAAACCATCCAGTGTTTCAAAGGAAGCTGGAATTTTATGGGCAATCTCCAAAGTATTACACGTTGTCTAAGAATTTTCTAAAAACACAAGGGGAACCAACTCCGGATGGACCAAATACAGTGGGCCTGTGGCTCATCCACTCACCCCAGCCCGTGGATCTGAGGGCTCACGCGGGTGTCTTTCCTCAATAGGCATCCCTGGAGAAATGGGGGCGGGCTCAGTCTGCATTTAGCACACAATTCCACCTGTTGTGAGCTTTTTTTTTTTTTTTTTGGTCTTAATTTCTGGACATATTTCTGCACAGGTGTCTCCACAGCTGACATGCGACCAGCCCCAGCACAGACACACTGTTCATCGTTGGTAAACAGCCAGTGCCTGTAGTCCCCCCCCGCCCCGTTAGCCCTGTGCCCCAACCACCCGATCCTTCCCTAGAATCCCCAGAAACTCCAGGGTTAACTTCTGGCATGGCAGGGACCTCAGCTGACCTTGCGGGGCCAGAATTCTTTCTCGTTCTTCCCCGCCCCAGAATTGTCCCTTTATCCTCCTGGGTCTCTGCGTCTCCCCACAATCACTTTCTTTTTTGAATTAGGTAACAGTCTTGAATCCTTGTTGATTCAAGGATATTATGTCATCAACAGGGATGTGCTGATAAATGTTTGACACCTAGCTCTCAGAAGTAGTGGGAAGTCCTGATTTGCAACATTCACTGAAATACTCCCACCCCGGCCAATTTCAAGCCACCAACACGACTGAATATGGAGTTGACGGGAGATGAGCAGCAGCTCACCATTATATAATACTTACTATATAGATGCAAATAACCTAAAAAGTACAGAAAGCAGTGAAATATAGTGAAATCATTAGGAATTAATGAGTTCTGAGTATTTATCACCTTTTTTCTAATATAACTGATTATATTATTAGTTGATATCACCTCACTTTTAATAATGCCTGTGTTTCTCAACCAGGTCACACAATTCCTGAAAATTCTGGCAATCAGCTCTTGGAAGCCCACATGAGCAGATTCCAGGACACCACTAGAAGGATAAACACAGAGGCAGAAAAATAACAAGAACAGGGGCTTGGTGGTCAAAAGACAAGGACTGGAGGGGGAGTCCCCCAGACCGTCCGCAGGAGGGCAACTCCAGGGTCTCAATTCATCCCAAATCCCATTACCTGCTCACCACCCACCCCCCCGCCACCACTTTCCACCCTCACCTTGCCCAGCCCCGCGTACCTGCAGCAGGAAGTCGAAGAGCGCCAGGCGGGCCCACTCAGTGTGGTGGATGGGCAGGCAGGGGGCCTGGCTCGGCCAGCTACAGCCGTGTGCCAGCAAGGCCTGGTACTGCAGCCAGCCCAAGGACAGAGAGTTCTGGTCATCGTCTGGGTCCCCCAGGTGCTGCACATCCGGCGCCCACCAGACGACGGGCCTGGGGCTGCCATCTGTGTATCGGTAGGGCAGCAGGGAGCTGCGGAAGCTCCGGGCCACGGCAGGTAGGCTCCGGCGCAGCCCCAGCACCCGGTCCACGTGGAAGGACAGGACCTCTGGCAGGTCTCCTGGCCTCTTGATCAGGCCACAGAGCCCCTGGGAGCAGAGATGGCTGAGCCCAGAGGACATGTTCGGAAGGGCACCCTCACTGGAGAAGCCGACCTGCAGCACCTGCCCGTGGCCGGGGACCCTGGCTTTGCCCGCCACCTGCCCCTGGGCCAGCAGCTGGAGTGCTTGCACATCATGCTCTGTGAGCCATGGGGGAACCTGCCCACCGGCCCTCAAGCTGCGCCACAGCTCAGGGGTCTTGGCCTCACACCAGACAGATTCTTGCAGCTCCCCAACAGAGCCAGGCCACTGACGAGCCCCTGTAGCCGGGGCGGGATGCCCTGCTGGTTGCCTACCCATCAAGGCTCTGTTCCTCGCTCCTGGCAGATTCCTGCCTGCCGCTGGGTAGGGCCGTGGGGTTAGTCCAGCAGCAGCTCTCCAAGCCTGTAAAGCTGTCATGCCGCGTCCTGTGACAGGGCCAATTAGGGTGCCAGTCTCATTCTGTGCCTCTCCGATGGGATCGTCATGCCAGGGGGGACTCAAGTCTTTGGCTCTTGGACTCCTGTCCTCATCGTCCCTCAGGAGCACAAGACGTGAGCTACTGAATCTCATATCTCCTAGAGAGGCCAAAGTCATGTCCCTCCTGACCCTCCCTGGATGCCTGCTATCCCCTCTCAGGGACCTTCTGCTTCTGTCCACTGTCCCTCTGTGGCCTTGCTCCTTAGCACACACCGGGATGGAATTCCTAGGCAAGGGCCAACCCCTCCAGACCTCTAGGTCTCTGGCCCGCTGCCTCCAGCTGGAGCTCAGAGCCTGCCAGCTGTGGGGGCTAGGGGCTCCAGTGACATCCTGGGGCTCCATGGGACCCGCATCTGGGCCAGTGGCTGGATGCTGTGGGGGGAAGCGGGTGACAGTCACCACAGAGAGAGTCATCAAGAGGCAGAATACCATCACCAACCGCCTCTTGCCACGCAGCTTTCTCCAGAGCCAAGATGCCTGGGGGACAGGACAGAAGAAGAAAGTTTGAGACCTGGGAAAATGTCAGACCCAATCCACAACACAACAGGGACAGTGAATGCAACAGCTTGGGTGTATGAAGAGGGAAGAGATGGCAGAGTACACTTAGTTGCCTTCAAGGGAGGAATGGCAACCATAGCCAAGTCAGCCTCTGCTTCAAAGCTGAGCTTGCTTTGCCTTCCAGGGTAGCCTTTGCTGATCCTCGCAGTTGGATCCGGGCTTCTCCCCCCTCAGAGAAGCCACCATCATGACACCAGTCATCAAGTGCCCTAAGCATCTCTTATTCATACCTGTCCCTCACCCCTCTCTTCATCTCCAGGTGAGACCTTGAGCCCACTCCGTAGATCCCTAATGGTTTCCCAGACGTGCTTTTCCCTTTTCCCAGGCACGAGGCTGCCCAGCTGCACATGACCTTGCCCAGCCTCTCTGTGGCCATGTGGCTCAGTCCTTGCCTGGAATCTTGCTCCCATGGAAGTTGGGTGCCCTGGCCTTTCTTAGCACACAGTTGTGGTAGCACCAGCTCCTTGTGTGTCAGCAAGGACACACTCTGGGGCAGTGATTGTTAAACATGTTGTTCCTGGACCAGTAGCATCCGTACCACCTGGAAACCTGTTGGAAAAGCAAATTCTCAGGCCCCACCCCTCATCACCTCACTCTGAGGTGCCTAGGCTGCTGGGAGCCAACAGGTGGGTCTATGTCCCAGGGTCGGGCTGTCCCGATCCTGAACACCCTGCTTCAGGCAGGGCAGGATGGGGGCCAGCATGCTGAATAGCAGTGGGGGTATCAGAGGAAGGCAGGGTTCGGATTTCCTCCCTCTCCAGGCAAGGCCCCCAGAGCCACAGGGCAGGGAGACAAAGCCTAGAGGAGATCTTCCTCTCCTGCTTGCTGGAGATGGGCTCGAACAATGGTTTCAAACCTGTCCAGAGGGTTCCTTCATGGTCTATGGTGGAGTAAAGGTTTAGGAGAGGACTTTTGTGTTCTCTGTATCTCCCCCTCCCCCGCCACATACACACAAATGCATACACATATATACACAGAAACACACATGCATATGTACACACACGCTCCCACCAGAACAGCTCTGTGTTTTTTTCACTAGGTAGGTTTAGCCCATTTATGTTACTTGATATGCTAGACATGTTTAGTCTGTTTGTCATTAAATTTTACGGCATAGTTTTTCTATTTATAATTTGGAATTCTTTCACTCTGTTTTCAGGTACCTTTATTTTGTTTTGTGATGTATACTTTGCTGCTTGTATGCCCTTAGTTGTCTAGCTCTTTAAACAGTCACTCTGAATCCCTACAAGAACAATCATAAAATTAGCACCTTTCCTCTTCCCCGTCCCCTACCATTTTTCTGCAATTCAATATTAACCACCTGCATTATCATTTTAATGTTTGCCTTTGTACAAGTAAATATGCCTACATTTCTACTATATTTGGTGTCTTTCAATGATATTCTTTGGTTCTCTGCTCTTATTAATAGTGTGTTTATTCTTCCTCCCTGATTCTCCTTCCAAATTGGTATACTTGTATCGTTTTTATCTTGCTAGAATAGAAAACTTGTACATTCTATCCCTTTTGTCCAATACTCACATTTGTTTAGGTTTTAGTGAAGTACATTCTTTTCATACTCTTGTCCCTTTTGCCCTAGTTTTTCATTATTTCTTGGTTGACAGAAGCCAAAAATCCATAATTTCCTCAAGAAGTGCTCATGGGAACAAAATTCTCTGAGTTCCTGCCTTCCCAAAACTATTTTTCTGCAGCATTCACACCCAAAGGAAAGTTTGGCTAGAAAGAAAATATTTTGGCCCAGTTTCTCTGAATAGTTTGTGGGTCCTGCTCCACTGAACAGAGGGGACCTTTCATCCTGCCTGGTTGCTGTAAGAATTCTTTCTTTTTCTTTACATTTTTTTCCAGCTTTGTTGAAGTACAATTTACAGATAAAACTGTATATATTTGAAGTATAGAATGGGATGATTTGATCTGCATATACACTGTGAAATGATCACCACAATCAAGTTATGAAGCACACCCATCACTTCACCTAGTTGCCTTTGTGTGTGGGTGTTGAAAATGCTTAAGATCTACTCTCTGCAAATTTCAAGTGTACAATACGGTATTCTTAACTGCAGTCACCTGCTGTCATTAGATCCTCAGAACTTACTCACCTAATAAAGTCTCTGTATTCTTCGACAAACGTCTCCCCATTCCCCTTGCCCCCTCCCAGGCCCTGGCAACCACCGTTCTACTCTCTGTTTCTTTCTTTTCTTTCTTTTTTTTTTTTTAGATTCCACATACAAAAGATTCCATATAGTACCATATAGTATTTCTCCACCTGCTTTACTTCACTTAGCCTAATGCCCTCCCAGTTCATTCATGTTGTCACGAACGGCAGGATTTCCTTCTCTCTTTTTTTTTTTTTATGGCTGAATAATACTGTGTTGCGTATGTATACATTTTCTTTACCCATTCATCGATCAGTGGACACAGGTTGTTTCCATATCCTGGCTATTTTGAATAATGCTGCAATGAGCATAGAAGTATAGATGTCTCTTCAAGACACTGATTTCATCTTGCCATTTGCAATGACGTGGATGGAACTAAAGGGTATTATGTGGAGCGAAATAAGTCAATCAGAGAAAGACAATTATCATATGATCTTCCTGATATGAGGAAGCTGAGATGCACCGTTGGGGGGTGGTTAGGGGGTAGGAAAATAATAAATGAAACAAGATAGGATCAGGAGGGAGACAAACCATAAGAGACTCTTAATCTCACAAAATAAACTGAGGGTTGCTGGGGGGTGGGGGGTAGGGAGAGGGTGGTTGGATTATGGACATTGGAGAGGGTATGTGCTATGGTGAGTGCTGTGAAGTGTGTAAACCTGGAGATTCACAGACCCGTACCCCTGGGGCTAATAATACATTATATGTTAATAAAAATAATTTTTTAAAAAGACACTGATTTCAAATCCCTCAAATAAATACATCCAAGTGGAATTGATGGATCATCTGATAGTTCTGTCTTGTAGTTTTCTGAGGAACCTCAGTGCACAAGGGTTCCCTCTTCCCCACATCCTTGCCAACACTTGTTATCTCTTGTCTTTTTGATAAAAGCCATTCTGACAGGTGTGAGGTGATCTTTTGTTTACTTTGAAGTCCCTGTGTTAACAGAACACATCTCAGTGTTGACTTTCCTGGGTCAGTTTTGCTGGGCGTGATATACCTTGTTAGAAAAGGTAGACTTAGGGATGCCTGGATGGCTCAGTTGGTTGAGCCGCTGCCTTTGGCTCGGGTCATGATCCCAGGATTGAGTCCTGCATCGGGCTCCTTGCTCAGTGGGGAGCCTGCTTCTCTCTCTGCCTCTGCCTGCTGCTCTGCCTGCTCGTGTTCTCTCTCTCTGACAAATAAATAAATAAATAAAATCTTAAAAAAAAAAAGGTAGATTTAGATGCTTTATTTCACCGAAGTTTTCTTAGACTAAATATTAAATGTTTTCCACTCCACTATTTTATTTATTTATTTTTTTTAGGCTCTCGAATTTCATATGTGTTGGACCTCCTTTGTCTGTCCTGTGTTTATCTTTCATCTTCTCTCTGATCCTTTCTAACCATTTCATTTCCATTTGTTCATTTTTCTTATTCCTATATTCTATTTAGCTGATTGTGTTTTCCCCAATATTCACTCATCCTTGTGTACTTTCTAATTTCTACCAAATTCCTATTAATTTCTACTTTCTCCTATTTCTTTCCAGCTCATATTTCACTTCTTCCTGCTATCTTACTGTCTTACCATTTTTTCTTGAGTTCTTGCATTTCTCTTTTGTAATGCTTCTTCATAGAGGGTATTTTTCCATTAAGCTTTAAAAATTGATAATGAAGAAGTTGCTCAAAATTTTCACCTATTTCAGGGCGACCTTAATCTGTTCATAAACTTTGCTATTCATTGTTCCCTTTTTTTCTCATAGTGTCTCTGTATGGAGGTTGAATTCCTTTCATGAGTTGGATGAGTCAGTTGAAAGAGGCTCCTATAGCGGAGCCTGAGCTGAATTTGAAATCGTGACCAGGGCGCTTCCTGCAAACCTGGCTTGTGAGCAGGTTCTTCATGTATCCTCTCCTCTGCTTCAAAAAAAGGAAAAAGAAATGTGCATTTTGTCTTCCATTCTCTTTGCTACTTTCAGATGGTTTCCAGGAGACAGTGGCAAGAATGCAGAGTTTATGTTCATAGTAACAGGCCTTAGTGGCACATTTTTAAGAAGAAAGTAATATGCCCTCACAGAATGCAGTAACTGGGCCAGGCCACAGAACAACCAACTTCTTCCAACTTCTGTGGTCCGGAGCCATGGCACCCAAACAGCTCTGGGAAGTCCAAGAGTTTGGCTCCCTCTGTACATGTTCACAAGATCTAGTCACTAGACTTGTGGGAATGGGGTGCAGCCCCCAGGCACACTGGCCACTTACCACCCCCAAGAGACCACCCTTCAAGAGTGTCATGGAGCAGGAAGAGAGGTGGCCCACCTATCAAAGTGAGATTTCTCGGAGTCACAGAGAGGGGAAGGGATCACTAGGTCAACCCACAAGGGTTCCCTACTTTATGTGATTTCTACCATCTCCCCCACCTCTAAAGTGCTCTTCCTGTTTCCAATCTGATGAAAGGTAGTGCCATCCACCCAGATATCCAAGCCAGAAATCTGGGCCTGATCTCCATTCCAACTTTCCCTCTGGCCCATACATCCAAGTCTTGCAAATTTTCCCTACATATCTCTGGAATCCATTCATTTCTCATTGGCCACTCTGTGTCTACCTGGGCTGAGGCACCCCCTTCTTTATTAGAACACCTAATTGGTCTCTCCCTCCACTCCTGCTTCTCTACATTCCACTCTCCACACACTCGATCATATCCCTCAAAGCCTCTTTGGAGAAAGTCTAAATGCCTGAAGTGCTTGAGCCCCGCTGAACTTCTTTGAATTCCTGATCA